GATAAATAACTCTAATTTTACTCTCCCTAAAGGCAAGACGATAATAGTAGAAGCAAACCTGTCCATTATAGCTCTCGTAAGAAGCATAACTAAAAACAAATGGGACGACCCATTCCGTGAAGTGGTCTTGGTCTAGAAAGTAAGGCATGAGTGAGTAGTCTTGGGTTTCTACAAGGCATGCATTTTCCTATGCTATATTTACAACCCTCTGGAAGCTAAATTAGGCTTCTTCAGCTCTCTGCGAAGCGGGGATGGACATAGCCCGATGCATGCGATGTAACTAAATTTCTTCCAGGCCGGCATAGACTTGAGACTTGTGGGTCTAAACAAGAAGAATGTTGTTATACAAGACCACTTCGCCAGTAAGGTGCTCGGCTGCGCAGCATTACATGCAGAGTTCTTAAGCTGCCGCGAATGGTGCCACAGTGTTGACTATAGCGAAAGGTCGAGTTCCTTGCGCGTTGCTAGACATCTTCATCTCTTTTGGCACCTTTGCCAAGACTGATTCATTTTGTGAATGCGGATCTGGATTGCGCCCAAGGAACGCTTTGATCCGAGTGGGTTTTGAATTCTGGTGATATCACCCCGTTTTCCCGACCATTTTTTCTACCATTTCTTCAGCACCGCATCATCCTCTGGTTTCCATCGCTCATGGGTGCGTCGCGGCTGATTGGGCACATACTGAGATCCCTTGGACGAGCAATCTGATTCAGAATCGCTGTCCTTTACCGACCAGGTCCCGCGCCCAGTCCTGCACAGAGCGCTGCGTTCCTCCCCGTTTAGCAGTGACCAGGACCAAGTCTGGCCATTCTCCAAGAGACTCGTCCGGTTCACAGTCTGTGACCGTGACCGTAAGGGTGCTAGGATCTGCCACTGATGCTGCGGCCGCCAAGCTGGCCTTGACTCTGTCCCATGACCCCACAATCCGGTCTGCACGCATTATGGCTGAGATATAGAGGGTCCCGTCAAGGTGATGGCGAGTATGGGTGATGGCTAAGATCGAATTCGCATTCGAATCCCTAGCAAGTCGCGTAACGGTAGCCTTTGAAATCTCTTCCTCCATAGCCTTACAGCCAGCTGTGTGTTGCAGATGTAGCTGAGAAGCTGTCTGTTGCCGACATCCAGGGGTCGCCTGCGAGCGTATTGTAGGCAATGGTGCTAGTGGTCGATGACGTTTTTTGGGACGAACTCCAGGCTCTTCGCTCGTTTGACGGACTCGCTTCGTATGCCTTCCCACTGAAGCACTCGCGTAGAGATGTTCGTTGGTCTCGTGGTTGTGCCGGCGACAGTTCTTCGGATCGTCCTCTTGCACTTCTTGTGTCTCGGGTATGACATTCACGCCCCCTACTACTGCCTTCCCGACTTTTGACGCTATTGGGTTGACT